AGCCTGGTGCCCATTTCAGATTCTGTGTCTCCCTCTCTCTCTGCCCCTCCCCTGTTCATGCTCTGTCTCTCTCTGTCTCAAAAATAAATAAACGTTAAAAAAAATTAAAAAAAAAAATAGAGTGATGCAAACAAACTTTAACACCTTGATGAAGCAAATGGTCTCCTTTTGGGGAATTGCAAAATGGGGCAGAAGGCAGGAAGCTTTTAGAGGATAAAGAACAAGGAAAAAAAAAAAGAAAACATCTGATTGCCTGGGGCCACATAGTCCACTTTGGGGTGAGAAGGCACAGAGTGGGCTTGGGGTTTGGAGATCAGCTGCTCTGGATATGCTGTGTTTCTGGCAAGAGGAGCATTTACTGGGACACAGAAGGTACCTAGAGTTTGGTCTGCTGACATGACAGAGAGGGCGGCCGCAGCTCCATCGTGATCCAGAAATTTCCTTCAACAACACCGTCAATGAAGAGTTAGAAGATAAAATTGAAAAACGAATACCATTTACCATCCAATGAAAAACATTACATTTTTAAGGGATACATTTCATGAACTGTACAAAATGTTACTAACAATTACAAAACATTGCTGAGCGGAGTTAAAGACCTAAATAACCGAAAAAATAAGCCATGTTTGTGATTTGGAATACCTAATATTTTTGTAAATTAAAAAAAATTTTTTTATTTTAGAGATAGAGTATGAGCTGGGGACAGGGGCAGACAGAGAGGGAAAGAGAGACAGAGAGAGAGAGACAGAGAGAGAACCTCAAGTAGGCTCTATGCTCAGCCCGATGCTGGGCTCTGAAGCCATGAACCATGAAATCATGGCCTGAGCCAAAATCCAGAGTCAGACGCCTACCGGACTGAACCACCAGGTGTCTCTGGATACCCAATATTTTAATGTTTCAGTTCTATTCAAGTACATCTAGAAACTCAACACGATACCAATCCAAATCCCAGGAGGAATGTTTGTAAAAATTGACAGACTTAAATTTATATAGCCAAAGCAATTTATTTATTTTAGTTTATTACATTTTTTTTAAATGTTCACTTATTTTTGAGAGAGAGGGAGACAGAGGGTGAGCAGGGGAGGGGCAGAGAGAGAGAGAGGGAGACACAGAATCTGAAGCAGGCTCCAGGCTCTGAGCCGTCAGCACAGAGCCCGATGCGGGATCGAACTCATGGACCATGAGATCATGACCTGAGCCAAAGTCAGAAGCGTAACTGACTGAGCCACCCAGGCACCCCTATATAGCCAAAGCAACTTGGAAACATTGGGAAAATAAAAATGTATACTACTAATATTAAGACTTATTATAAATCTACAATAATTATAACAGTGTGATATAAGCAGAATGATTAGGCATATAGATCAATGGAATGAAGGAGAGATTTGATTCCACACTGTATGATTGACTGGTTTTTCAGTAAAGGTGCCAAGGTAATTCCGTAGGAAAGGTACAGACCTTTCAACAAATAGTGCTAAAAACCAAGCATCCATGTGGGGGGAGATGATATAGAAAATCTACTTTGAACTGAATGTTTGTGTCCCCCCCACATTTAACCCCTGTTAAAGTCTTAATCCTCCCCATGTGGAGAGGAGCCTCTAAAGAAGTAATTAAAGTCAAATGGGGTCCTGATCTAACAGGATCAACGTCCTTATAAGAAGAGACCTATGAGAGCTACCTACTAACGGTCTGAGCCCTCTGAACTTGCGAACACAAGGAAAGGTCACGTGAAAACATAGCAAGAAAGCAGTGTCTCCAAGCCAGGAAGAGAGTTCTCACCAGAAACCAAATTGGTTGGAACCTTGATCTTGCACTCCTAGCCTCCAGAACTGTGAGAAAAGAAACTTCTGTTGTTTAAGCAACCCAGTCTGCAGTATTTTGTTACGACAGCTCTAGCTGACTAATAATATCCACATGGACAAAAAGGAACCATGACCCTTATATTATACCATACGCAAAAATTAACTGAAAGAAACAGATTATAGAACGAATATAAAAGTGGGGCACCTGGCTAGCTCAGGCGGTAGAGGGTGCAACTCTCAATCCCGGGGTTGTGAGTTCAAGCCCCACGTTGAGAGTGGGGATTACTTAAAACTTACTTTCAAGTCACTTAAAAATTACTCTTAAGTTATTTTAAAATACTTAAAAAGAAAAATCTTCAAAAACCCAGAAAGCTAAAAACTGAAACTATTTTCCTGTCCTTTGAGTAGGCACTAATTTTACAGACACGATCCACAAAACACTAACCATAAAAAAAAAAATTGACAAATTGTGTTTCGTTAAAGTGGAGAACTTCTTTTCTTCAGAAGGGACACCATTAACGAAATGAAAAGGCAAGTGTGTTTACATATATAACAAAGGAATTGTATCCACAATGTATAAAGAACTCTTATAACTCAGAAGACAAACAACCCGTCAGAAATGGATAAAATGCTCAGACTTTAGAAAAGAAGATATGTAAATAACTAATGAGCACGTGAAAAGATGGTCAACATCAGGACAATGCTAGTAAAAATCACAATTAGATACTACCATACCCACAAAAATGATTGCTACTTTAAGAGCTGACACTCCCAAAGGCTGAAACTCTCGCACCCTCTTGGTGGGAATGTGAACTGGTATAAACATTTGGCATTTTCTTGAGTTAAATATATGCTTACCTACTTGATCCAGCAATTCAACTGCCAGATTCTTTTTTTTTTTT